ATCATTTCCACCAGCACTGAGACAGATAATGGGCTTTTCCCATTACCTGACATGATATTATCCAGTCTGTTGACAATGTCCCCAACACCAGCTCCAGGGAAGCACACTCTATCTCTCATCTTCTTATTCCTATTACAAAAAGCACGATCAACATATCTTACCTGAGAGTCACCAACCACAAGAATGCGCTTACCTTCATTAGCAGGGGCAGTAGTACCCTTACCTTCACTGGCCACTGAAGTACATTCATCCTGGAGAACAGAGAAGCGATTTCCTACCTTCAGATCTGCACTCTTAACTTTCCTTACTCTGAAACGTTGCGACAATAAAAATATCTCGTAGTTGAAGATGTTCTTTTACCTAACATCTTGTCGGTAATTCTACCAACATTATTACACCAAGACTGATCGTGTATATAACGCTGCTAGCTCATATGACCTAACAGTCCATGTGGTGCTTAAAATTACCGTATCTCACCAGCATGTAAGAAGTATCATGAATTTACAACAAGAAATAATTAAACAATAAAATATATATAAGTCCCTGACTCAAAGTTATCATCTCCATAAACGAGTTGGTGGCCTCAATAATTACTGCACTTGAGTGATTTGCGCATCCGTGCAGACCAGCAAATGAGAGGAAACACTGGTCTACTCTTTTACCAGGCTCTCATTTCAGTAGCTGAGATGTGAAAGCATTTTATAAGATTTCTCTGAGCATCTTATAAGACTTCCAGTGTCATTCCAGAGACGAGTAGCTAACATGCAGAGCATACAAGTTTGCTTTTCTCTTGCTTTCCGTTTGTGTAGAAGCATAAAACTTTCCTTTCTTAGAGACACGTAAATATTTTGAGGAGAATATCATATCACTGTTGATGTGTATGAAGCGAGAGAAGCAGTGTGTATATATGCCGAGAGGTGTATATCTTAGTATGTTTAAACTTAGGTTAGGTAAGGTTTGTCAGGCAACAGGACAAGTGTTTCCTGATGCAGGTGTTAGTCATATGATGATCCGCAGCTGGAGTTTTTGGACATCTGACCGAGGCCTTCAGCTCACTTACCGGGCCACCCCTTTAAAATATTATTTTATTTTGTTTTATTTTGTCGATAGTTGCGTTAAAACGCAACTATCAACAAAAATATCAAGTTTTATGTTGCCCTGTCGTCATCAGTTTCGAACATAAAACAGTGTTTCCTGGCACGAGTCGTAGTCATGCTGACCCGCCACTGGAACTTTTGGTCATCTACCCGAGGTCTTCCACTAACTCTCCTCTACCAGTTTCAAAATTAAGATTAGTCAAGCGGCAACTTCATATAATAAATTTAGCCTAAAATTTAGTTTAGGGGGCTCATGTTTTTATTATGTAATTTCTTTAATATTGAGTGAAATGCGCGATGAAGATAGATATATTTTAGGCCTATGTGGTTAAAGGCCTTTTTGACAGTCAAATAAACATAACTAAACCTAATTATTATTATTATTATTATTATTATTATTATTATTATTATTATTATTATTATTATTGTTGTTGTTGTTGTTGTTGTTTGTTGTTGTTGTTGTTGTTGTTGTTGTTGTTGTTGTTGTTGTTATAACTAAGCGCTAAACCGTTAACCGGACCTAAACCTAACCTAACATAACCTAGAATTTAACACCTTATCTAGGTTAAGTTAGCCTGGTCTTTTTAGGTTAGATTTGGTTATCACATAACAGCAGCTACCTGGAGGGTATTCCAGGGATCAACGCCCCCGCGGCCACCGTCCATGACTAGGCCTCTCGGTGGATCAGAGCCTGATCAACTAGACTGTTGCTGCTGGCCGCACGTAGTCCAATGTACGAACCACAGCCCGGCTGATCCGGCACTGACTTTAGGTATCTGTTCAGCTCCCTCTTGAAGACAACCAGGAGTCTATTGGCAATTTCCCTTATGCCTGGTGGGAGGCTGTTGAACAGATTTGGGCCCTGGACACTTACTGTGTTTTCTCTTAGTGAATTAATGGCGCCGCTACTTTTCATTGAGTGTATGTTGCATCTCCTGACAAGTCTTTTGCTTTCGTAGGGAATGATTTCTGTGTGTAGATTAAGGACCAGTCGCCTGTCCTCCAGTTTAAACAGGTATAGCACATAGTAACAGCGAACATTCCCCAGAGTACAAATATTCCATGAAATGGAAGGGAGACCACATTATAGAATAATTATTGTTGGGGCAGGTGGTTTTTAACCTTTAAAAATACATAGAGGAGGTTTTATGTGCTTCCAGGCGTTCCCAGTAGTTAAGGTGTTTGACGGAACTTATATGTGCAGTAAAGGTTCTCTGTACATTCTCTAGATCTGTGATTTCACCTGCCTTGAATGGGGATGTTTATGTACAGCAGTATTCCAACCTAAAGAGAACAAGTGATTTAAAAATGATCCTCATTGGCTTGGCATCTCTACTTTTTGAATGTGCTCATTATCCATCCTACCATTTTCCTAGCAGATGTGCCAGTAACACTGTTGTAATCCTTGATGGTGTCCTCAGACATTACCACTCCCAGGTCCTTCCAATTACTTTTCTGCTCTGTTGTGTGATTACAGTTTGTAGTATACTCAGTTCTAGCCATTATTTCCTCCAGTTTTCCATAACAGTGTAGTTGTAATTTGTCTTCATTGAACAGCATACTGTTCTCCGTTGCGAACTGGAAAACTTGGTTTAAACCTTCATGGAGATTTACCTTTTCTTCATGGATGACACTCTCATGCAGATCCTAGTATCGTCTGCAAAGGATGATACGGTGCTATGGTTTACATCTCCGTGTTTGATATGAGAATGAGAAACAGGATAGTGGCGAGTACTGTGCCTTGTGGAACAGAGATCTTCACTATGGCAGCTTCCAATTTAACTATGTTTACCACTACTCTTTGTGTTCGATTTTTTAGAAAGTTGAAGATCCATCTGCCCACTTTGCCAGTTATCCCTTGAGCACGCATTTTGTGTGCTATTACACCATGATCACACCTGTCAAAGGCTTTTGCAAAATCTGTGTTTACTACATCTCCATTCTGTTTGTTTTCCAGTGCGTCCAAGACCAACTCATAGTGGTCCAGTAGTTGCGAGAGGCAGGAGCGACCTACTCTGAACCCATGTTGCCCTGGATTGTGCAATTGTTGGGAATCCAAGTGGTTTGTAATCCTGCTTCTTATAAGTCTTTCAAAGATTTTTATGATGTGGGACGTTAGAGCTATTGGTCTATAGTTCTTAGCTATTGCTTTGCTGCCACCTTTATGGAGACGGGCTATATCCGTTGGTTTTAGTGACTGGAATTTCACCAGAGTTTCTTGCAGTTCTTAATGAACGCAGAGTTCCGTGATTCTGGGTCTGGAACTGAGTGCATGGGCATGTTGTCAATGGCTTTATCAAAGTATAGTAGGGTTAGGGTTATGTCAGAGATTTGGCATACATTGACAGGGTTTTGAGGCTCAGTCATGAAAAAATCACTATGATTGTCGATCTTTAGACTGATTAGTGGCTCGTTAAACACAGAGTCGTATTGGGATTTCAGTATCTCACTCATTTCTTTGTTGTCATCTAAGTTCCATCTTGTCTAAGCAGGGGCCCGATACTAGATGTGGTTTTCGAATTTCTTTCAATTTCACTAATCGCTTTTAGCTCTTCCTGTCTCTCCTGGATCCTGTATGAGTCTAACTTATGCTCAATATTTTCCACTTCCCTGGTTAGCGCTTCCTTCCGTGTTTCCGATAATCTAACATTCTTGAGGAGCTAAGTGATTCTTCGCCCACTCCTCTAGAGGGAGCGTCTCTCTCTCTCTCTCTCTCTCTCTCTCTCTCTCTCTCTCTCTCTCTCTCTCTCCTCTCTCTCTCTCTCTCTCTCCAGTTTACTTCTCTTCTTTTTTCTTAGGGGGATATGCCTTGAACATATTTCAACTACCAGAAAGTGGATCTTTTGAAAGCACTGGTTAGGGTCCATGTTATTTAAGATATTTTCCCAAGATGTTTTATTTAGGACATGGTTTACCTGGTTCCAGTTGATGTTCTTGTTGTTGAAGTTGAATTTGGTAAAGGTACCCTCATAGCTGTATGCATTTTGCTGATCAGGACTCCTGTGTATCTAAGTCTGGACTTCGATTAGATTATGATGTGAATTTGTTGTTTTTGATATTCTTATGTTTCTTACCAGGTTCTCATTATTTGCGAAAATAAGGTCAAGTGTGTTCTTCAGTCTTGTTGGCTCCACTATCTGATGACTTTGGGTGTGTTTATGGCAGAGATTTAGCATCTCGTGTGTGTGTGATTTTTCATCTGAGCTGCCTCCATTGATTATTTCTGCTACAACATTATTTGCTATATTCATTGGTTTTGTATGTCATAGAGTGAAGTCACCAAGCAGAAAGATGTTTGGGGATGGGGCTGGAAGGTTTTCTAGACAATAGCTGTTCTTTGAATTGTTGGGAAGTTGCATCTGGTGGCTTGTATACAACCACAATGACTAAGTTTTGGGTCTCGATTTTTATTGTTAGTACTTCAACTACATCATTTGTGGTGTGCAGTATCTCCGTGCAAATGAGCGACTCTGATGTACAGGCCAATTTCCCCTCGTTGCCTTTTCTTTCTGGCTGCAAACATCGCATTTGACACTCCTAGAAGTCCACTGATGAAAAGTATTTTATTGGTAGTGGATGGCAAATGTAAATGGGGTCGTGTTGCATGTTTGTTGGAGGGATTTTGTTGTTGGCATCAGTAGTTGTGGTCCTGGAGGGACATGAGGGGCCACTGGCTGTACTCCAGTCCAACAAGGCTCCAAGGTGGTGAACTATTTTGGTTATTTTCTTTCTTCGTTTCCTACCACTTGGAGTGTAGTCTCTAAAATATAACTGTGTCTGTTGTATTACCCACTTAATAAATGATAATTTGCATAAAATCTGGTTAAGCAAAAAAAAAAAAAGTCCATTATGAAGATAATACAAATAGTATACAATTTCTTGGTATGAAATGGAAAGAAATAATTAGAAAAAAATCCTGTTTCTTTATTTCAGTTTTAACAATAACATGAGAAACTTACGTTTTTAAATTCAAATTTGATTCTAACTGTAATACAATTATGTACTCCTTTCTCATACCAAGCGTAGTATAATCAACAACTGTCCCTTATTCCAGGAATTTTGCTGGACTGATGACTTCAAGGAACGCACAGGTGGAGCTATGGGGAATGTTGCCGCTGTCCTGTGATAAAGCCTAGGAGTGTACTCATGGTGTACCGTATTGGCTAGACGGTGGTGTCGGTGTACCGTATTGGCCAGATGGAGCTACGATTCCAGATCCGCCGCCACCTCCAATACTTCCGCCGCCAATAATGCCACCGCCACCTCCGATAATGCCGCCGCCACCTCCAATAATGCCTCCGCCACCTCCAATACTTCCGCCGCCAATAATGCCACCGCCACCTCCGATAACGCCGCCGCCGCCGCCTCCACCAATCACCTGGCCACCCCCCTGAGACGCGGAGCTGAGAGCCGACTGCAGGTCCCCACCAGTAGGAAGCGTCGGGTTGTCGCCTTCGGCATAATTGACGAAGAACACCTGAGGAGTCTGTTGCTCAGGTGCTGGCACATTCACGACTTGATGATCCAGCTGAGTGCGCTTGTTGAGTACATACACAACGTTCTTCTGCAGTGGAGGTGGCACGACGATGGGTTCTTGACTAAGTATTCCATCTGCAGCGTGGATGAACAGAATGTTGTGCTGAATTCTTGGTAGAGGAATGTTGGGTCGAGGGCCAGTGATTGGTGACACTGGAGGTGCTGTGAACACATACAAGTTTCTGGTGACCTGAGGAGTCACACAACTCCCATCCACATGACGGACTTGTCCGCCTCCACAGCTGCCTCCAGAAATTCCTCCACCACCTCCAGAGTACCCACCACCGCCACCACCGGAAGAGAATCCCCCGCCGCCGCCAGAGACGAATCCTCCTCCACCGCCGCCAGAAATGAATCCTCCGCCGCCGCCAGAAATGAATCCTCCTCCTCCTCCTCCTCCTCCTCCGCCGCCACCGCCGCCAGAAGAGTACCCTCCGCTGGAACCACCAGAAATAAACCCTCCGCCACCAGACGAGAATCCTCCACCGGAACCACCAGAGATGAACCCTCCGCCTGAGGGGGTGGGTAGACTGTAGCCTTGAGGGGCGGCGTGCACAGCAGCCGCCAGCAAGGAGGCTAGAATCTGTGGAGAACATATGCAGGTTAAGCAAACATTGTAAACAAAAACAGCAGCTGTGAATCCATATGTAAATGACGCCGGAGAGCTGAGAGTTGAAAAAAAGGAACACAGAAAGTTTCTTATGTAAATTCACCGAACGTTTTAAGAAAGACACTAATCCATTGCAGAATTATGACACTCGAAACAACCAATCATTCATTACCAGTGTTGCCACAACTCAACAACCAATCATTCATTACCAGTGATGCCACAACTCAACAACCAATCATTCATTACCAGTGTTGCCACAACTCAACAACCAATCTTTCACTACCAGTATTGCCACAACTCAACAACCAATCATTCACTACCAGTATTGCCACAACTCAACAACCAATCATTCACTACCAGTGTTGCCACAACTCAACAACCAATCATTCATTACCAGTGATGCTACAACTCAACCGGTACTCACCTCATTCATATGAAAACCGGTGTTACCACAATCGTACACACATACAACCACTTCCAGTAGTGCCATGCCTTCGTTAAATTCCCATTCCTATTCAATAGTACTAAACAATAATAAACAAAATGCAAAAATATTGATAACTAATGGAAAATAGCTAAACATGGAAGGCCATATTCTGGAACTAATCAGATGTTATTCAAATAAACAAAAATGTATAAATTTCACATTAATACAAATAACTTCACGAATTACGTTTCTCCATGGAATCAGAACTATAGAAGTAGTCTAGTTTCTATATGGTTGAGTATAGCACTATAGTTCCTGGCACTGTATGTCAGCCGCAGCCTTGCAATACGACTGGGCTCTTTGATGTAATTATTCACCAGGAGCGTAAACACGCCGTGTAACTCGACACGGAGACGGGAGGAACACAGGGACTCACCAGGAGCTTCATGGTGGAGTATGGTGCCTGCCTAGGTCCTCCTCCTCTTATATACTGCCACTCTCCGCCTGGGCTTCGCAAGAATCACTTTCGTCGCATCCTTAAGCACACACTAACGCATCCTCCGCCCCCTCTCCCTCTCTTTCTCTCTCCATGTGACCTTCCCTGCGAGCCCGCGCAGGGTCAGGGGGGCATCAGCCTCAGAGTCAGCAGTATTGTCTCTACTGAGTTTTGAAAACAAGGCACCAAGACATGATCCTCTTTCCTGCATGTAAGGTATTCCACAATTCTCTTGTCTAGTCAAAACTGCATCCTCCTCCCACTCATCTGATTGCAAGGGAAGGTAGACCCATAGACACGTAGAGAATCAAAAGACAATTCCGTGGATGGATCCAGATGATCCACCACTTAAAAGTTTCACTCTCCTATGTGCGGGTTAATTGTGTATAGAATGGTGTACCTGATCATCCTCTCAGCAAATCTGTGCACCAAAAACTACCTATATAACTTGTACTGGGCAAGACTTGTGTTTCATAAAGCTTGTATTGATGAGATCAAAAGTTACTGATGACTCTGGGGTTATTAAACCATTGTTTAGTTAAATCTGGGATCATTGCATCGGTGTTCAGAATAACTGTACGATCATGGCAGCAGTGTTCACTGTAATTTGTGATCATGGTAGTAGTGTTCTGTATAATTTACCATGGTAGCAGTGTTCGTTATATTTTGTGGTCATGACAACAGTGTTCATTATAACTTGTGATCCTACTTACTGATCCAGTGTCATCATACGTGCTACTCTGGGTGTCATCATTCGTAGAGCCTCGACAGGAGCGAGAATGATAAGCCTTTCCGTCACACTTGTGAATGACGACGCAACATTTCTACTCATCTCCTTCACCTCATGACCTCTCACTCCTCTCCACCCCCCCCCCCCACCTCTACCCCAACTCCATCCACCCACACATTCACAAATACGCACACACGCACGCACACATACGCATATGCGTGCACGCGCGCACACACACGCTCACGGAGCAGAGAGAGAGGACCTAGTAGCTATCAGTGAACAGGCTGGGCCAGGAGCTGTAATTCGACCCCTGCAACCACAAATAGCTGAGTACAAATAGGTGAATACAAACGCAAGAATGTCTATCGACAAGCGCCTCTGAAAAATGGTAACTAACGTGCGTACAGACATGCTCAGACACGCACACAGACAAGAGGCGGGGCCAAGAGCTATGACCCAACCCCTGGAAACAACATACACACATGGCTGTACTAATGCTAAATAATTTATAACATGTTTTAGAGCCAGAGCAGAGCCACACAACTGTCAGATAGAGCCAACATATAACCAAGGAGAGTACATGTGTAAATAAATATTGAATGCTTAGACATGCAAAATAATAATAATAATAATAATAATAATAATAATAATTATTATTATTATTATTATTATTATTATTATTATTATTATTATTATTATTATTATTATTATTATTATTATTATTATTGCTGTTGTTTTTTCACGGAGAAATGCTAACACTCGTCAGGGTCACATAGCACCTGGGTCACAGAAGACTCATCAGGTTTCATCCAAGACACATGCAAAGTAACTTCACCTCCATAAATCAAGAGCCCTTGGCCAGCACCTAGGCACTCCGCTTGAAAGGTATAAACACGCAGACTAGCTCAGGTCATTAAGAAAATCTGAGTTATGAAGACAGTCTGCAGACACTGTGTGTGTGTCTGCAGACACTCAAGTCTGCAGACACTCAAGTCTGCAGACACTCAAGTCTGCAGACACTCAAGTCTGCAGACACTCAAGTCTGCCTTGAAGGCAACGCAGAAAATAAGTGGTAATCACGGCTAATATTTGATAACTACACATAATATATGATAACCACGTATAATGTATACTGGTGTAAGAGGTGATAAAAAAAAAATACAGAAAATATTTGGGGTCTTAGCAGCCAAGAGAACAAGAAGAAGAAAGCACTCTGGTAGCTGTTACTGGAAGATTACGAAAGAATATTTTATTTTTAGAGTACCGTAGTAGAGTGCTCAACTCCGGGAAGAAGTTCCACGTTAATGAGGTGTTGTGAAGTTTGCAATAGTTGTGACCATTTTTTTTAGGAGGAAGGAGTCTAGACGCCACAAGTTTCCCTCTACTGATGTAGCTACAAGTAAGTAATTACACGCAGGCGCTCTTTCCACGTACGGAAAAGTCGGCAAGTACACGCACGCACATGCGCAACCTGGCACGGACATCACATGTACACGAAAGAACCATCAAATACAAAGCATAAACCAGCACACACACACACACACACCAGGAGCTGAGTCTCGACCCCTGCAACCACAGTTAGGTGAGTACACATGAACGCATGATCCACCAGGCTCTACGCATGCACGCACCAACCAGTACACACACACATGTGCGAGAACCAACACACACACACACATACCACTACTAATAAACACACGTACAATACACGCAACACACACTTCAGACACACGCATATTAAAAACGCACCCACAAACACAAACACATTCACTCCTCTAATTTCCCTCAGCTATTGTTCAACATCGCTCTCACTTGCCCAAGAATTTCGAAACAAAAATATCATTGTGTCACCTTTTTCAAGAGGAAATAATTTTCACCGGCTAGGCTGCTTCCTAGGCTACATAGCTGCCTAGGCTACATAGCTGCCTAGGTTACATAGCTGCCTAGGCTACATAGCTGCCTAGGCTACATAGCTGCCTAGGCTACATAGCTGCTAGGCTACGTATCACCTTGGTTATAAGAATTTCTTTATATCCAGCCAGACAATCGGTCGTCTACTGTGAAAAGTAAACAAAATACTTTCTGTCGCCTGGTTGCTTATGGGCCACAAGTATTTATAAACAAACATGGTTGAGGACGTCATGCCTTAACCTCCTCCCTTCCGTTACTGCCCCTTTCCCTCGCTGACTACTTTCGCTCGTTGTAGCCCCGACGTATATGGTGACTCCGCCTGGAACGCCAGAATTTAGGCTTTTAAAAGTTACGTTATAAGGGCTACGTCAGCGGTGAAGAGGTAAACTGGTAAAGTAGCTGTACTTTTTACATTTTATTATCTCAACCTCGGTCATTAGGCAACTCTCGGTTGTTCCTCTCTCTTTCTCTCTCTCTCTCTCTCTCTCTCTCTCTCTCTCTCTCTCTCTCTCTCTCTCTCTCTTTTCTCTCCCCTCTCTCCTCTCTCTCTCTCTCTCTCTCTCTCTCTCTCTCTCTCTCTCTCTCTCTCTCTCTCTCTTTTACAATAATCCCCGATACAAAGATGAAACTAGATGATAAAGCTGCAACACGAGCTGAAACATCGTCCAGATAGTTTCACTTGCAATTTGTATATTAATTAGAATTGTTCAAGCTATGGTATTTGTCGCTTTGTTTCCTCTCTTAATTGAACCTTCTCTCCTTCAGCATCTCACAATAAGCCATGTCATTTTATCAAGACCAGCGACTGTTTTGATTCACATCTTGTGGTGTTCAAGTGTACCCTAGATACGACTCGGCATTTAAATGAGCTGTGGTAGGATATGTAGCCTGAGCCGAATATGTACATATATATATATATATATATATATATATATATATATATATATATATATATATATATATATATATATATATAAAATATATATATATATATATGTATGTATTAAGCGTACTCAAGACAAATACAGGTTAAGTACATCAAGACGTAGTGTATATGTCTCTGCGTACACAAGTGAGAGTATTCTTGTCAGATTACAAGCAGCCTTAATGACCCTCGTGTAGTCGATGTGTTTTAAATTAAGGATCATTAAGAAGAGCATTAAGACAAACCACGATCGCTTGATAATGATTGTCAGTCTTAAGCACGGTAACTAGAGCCATCTAGCAGGTGTGTATAAGCCTAGAAGGGTAACTCTTAAATCTACTGCTTCAGACTGACAGGTGTTAAAACTCAAGAGTCTCCTAGCTGGTGCATATTATGACCTCTCAGTCTTAATGATCATTGTATTCAATGTTCATTAATGAGTGTATTCACTGTTCATTATTGAACTGGCTTATATTGACAGTCTTGCATTCTGAACATAGTTTATATCGTGATTTTTGAAGGGGTATGTTTAATTAGACAGGTTATTTCGAAGTCTTATATTTTTTCCTTGCGACTTTAATAAGAGTTCTCAAGTTCGTATAAGGATTAATTCTTAGCCTGTAAATTCAACACCTCTATTTGCAGTCATCTTTACAGCGTCGGTGTCAGTAAGATGAAGTTTTATTGGCAAGTGATATGCATATAATTGACTGATTGTGAATGTACCGTAGCGTACATAATAATTGTAAATGTACCGTGGCCTGCTTAATGACTGTGAGTGTACCGTAGCTGTACATACTGATTGTGAATGTACCGTAACTGTACATAATGATTGTGAATGTACCGTAGCTGTACATAATGACTGAGAATGTACTGTAGCTGTACATAATAGTTGAATGCACTATAGCTGTACATAATGAAAAGCTGTTCTAAATGTACTTCATCTAATCACTAGCCTACAAAATGTATCTTTTAATCCAGTTTAGAAACCAAATTAGTTGTTGTTAGTTAACTTTGATGTGCTGGTCACGAATATATGGCGTCACCTTCTTTTTCTAAATCTTATAATCAATATTTTAGTTATTTTTAATTTGAAGAATTACATGATATCTGTTATTCAACAATCATAGGTATTATATTATGTATAGATTTTAATACAATGACAAAACTAATCATAACGTAAATTCATTATATATATATATATATATATATATATATATATATATATATATATATATATACAAGGAATTCGCAAGAGCAGGCGAAATATACACAAACACTGATCTCTGGCCGAAGGAGACTCGAACCTACGAACCTTGGAACAAGGTACACAGTGCCTTACCATTCTCACCACACTGGACCAATACCTTGGCGTCCATTTTGCGCTAGACGTTTGACCCAAGGCAGCCAGCTTTCAGGGGATGCAGGGGATGAGATGAAAAGCTGTAAGCCTTCTCCCTGAAATCTGGCTGCCTTGGATCAAACGTCTAGCGCAAGCTGGATGCCAAGGTATTGATCAAGT